GACTGCCTGAATTTATAATTTATGAGTTTAATTAAAATAATAAATTAATAAATAATAATATTATATATATATATGTAATATACATTATAAATATCCCGGTAAACGACATAATATGTGTGACACTGAATGTAAACGATGCAAATAAAGATGTATAATAATGTATGAATAATGCACTTCAATATTTTTTATTTTATTTTTTAATACTTCAGATGAGTTATTAGAAATGTTAGAAAAGTAGCAAAGAGTGAATATTTAAAATTAAGTTTTTATTTAGTACAATAAAAATCATATCACCAAAACTTGTACAGTTCACATACACATAATTTTTATTAATAAACTTTACTAAAAATATTTTATAGTAAATGTATTTGTTAGACGTACGTAATCGGCTTTATGATTTAGAGTCATTAGATATCAAAGTAGATTAAATATTTAAAAATCATATCTCATCTTATGTGTACTGGAAATGATGATTTCACAATTTCAAGATCATAAATAAACACTAAGAATCATCACAAATGCCTCCTGGTACTTTACAAATCAAAATCTTCATAAAGACCTTCAACTACCAACTGTCAAAGAACTAGCAACTAAACATTACAAAAAAATTCCATAACAAACTAAAAGATCACCCTAATCCACTAATTCATCAAATGTCCACCACAACAATTCCAAATAATATAACTCGCCGCCTTAACAGGGACTGGCCTCGTGACCTACTAGATCCTGTGTTATTGTAATACGGGTGTTAATAAAAAAAAAAAAAATTATAAATAACAAATAGTAAGTAATATTGTAGGTGTGGCCAGTGGGCCACTTCCTATTCAAGTTTTCATGTCACTGTTGTACTTTTATTATCATAATTGTTTATTGTGTAACACTTCACAGATTGTAATTTTCTATACCAATAAAAAAAAAATAAATAAATAAATAAACACTAAAGGAATATGAAATTTTGAAATGTTTGTGGTTTTCAAGAATACCACCGATAATGACTTATTTACGATTAATAAATATAATTTTATTTTATCAGCGTAACAAACATACGGAATAAAATATGATTTACTTAACTTTTTATTAAAACGATATAATTTAAAACATAAATTATGAATTGAAAAATTTTAAATTTCGAATATACATGGAATTCATTTTTCAAGTAACTGCGATGGACCAACTGTCCAAGAGTCCAAATCAAGGTCTAAATAGAGAAAAAAATTTCCAAGAGGCCAATTTTGTCAACAAATATCAACTGTGGGTCAGCTGATCCCCTGAACCCCTCCCCTTAGATCTACCCCTGGCAGTGACGTACGCAGAAAAAAGTTTTGGGAGGTGTTTTTGAAAATCAGAACATTTTTTCAATAAACAAATGAAATTTTACTATGAAAGACTTATAATATACTTACATTACTTTTTTTTGAATATAAATAATATCATAAATGATATATCATTGATCAATGATAATATCATAATATGATATAAATATACATCATATTAAAAAAAATCACAAAACTAAATCTAATTTTCATGAAGTTTTAGCCATTATGTTAAGAATATCTTTACAATTAACTTCTATGTCTCTATGTACATTTAACAATGTTAATCCATTTAACCTTTCTTCACCTGTTTTATTACTTTAATACGTTTTCAACCTACGAAGGGAAAAAAATGAGCGTTCACTTGTAGCTATGGATACTGGGAGAGTAGGTAAGTAAGAAATTAATTTCAAGATATTACGAAAAACATATCAAAAATTTCAAATGCATATTTTTGAATAATTCTTAATTTTTAGATTTAAGAGTTTTTTGCATATTTGTCCAAATGAACATTTTGTGTAAAAAAGTAAAATAAAATATTTTAATATTAATATTATTAATATTTTTAATATTTTAAATATTTTTTAATTTTGCATATTTCTTCTTTTTTAAGCGCATAGGTGCATGTATATTTAGTACTTTTTAAGAAAAATTCCGAGCCCAAGAGATAATGTATGCAATGTCATAAAAAACTTAAAATTAATATTAAGATTGTTATCGAGCATAACTCACCAAATATTCTAAAACCAAACATTTCGGGAGGTGTTTGAACACCCAAAACACCCCCCTGTGTACGTGCCTGATCCCTGGCTATAAAAATTCATTTGATGAGAATCCACGTAGATGGGTTGTATGTTGCATTGGTCTATTGAGATAATTTTGCGATAGATGGAGCCGATGGAGTAGTAAATACCTCCTGATATGCTGTTTCTTCGGTGAGGAAGGCATATAAATTTGGTGTGATAAACACTTTGCTCTTTTTTTTAACATTGGATTTCGGAGGCGAAGATGTTAATGATAAAGATAAATTGCATTTAGAAGTTTTTTGCGTATCGCCAAAATACCGCCTTATTTTATTATCTTATTACTATTGGTATTATGTGAATACCGGTATATGAGTTATTATTAATTGTTAGATAGGCCGAGTCGACGACACGGTGGGTTTCGGTCTTCCAGTGGCGTATATAGGTTTTCATTTCGGAGGGGACCGATTATGTATTTGATTTTTGGGTGGAAGGGAAGGAGGAAGCACACTATTACGAAAAAAATTACTTTAACAATATAAGACTTTTCGACTGTCTTTACACCATCAGAGAAATAAGAAACTCAATTTTTTTAATGATTTATTATTTTTTAAAAGTATAAAAACTACATTGTAATAAACAAATTTTTTATTAGAGTCACTCAAAGTTCACCACATATTTTCTTAAAAGAATAAACATATAATACAAATATTTTATAAATATAAAATTTTAAATTATCGCATAAGCAACATTCTCAGTATCGCGAAAAATTTTCTGAAACTCCCAGCATTAAGACATATCCATGTTAAAAATAATAATCTTTAATAATGGTGTTTTTCATTTCTGAGGGGGCCCGGGCCCCCTCGACACCCCATAAATACGCCCCTGTGGTCTTCTCAGCAGTACTGATTAGTATCTTAATAAAGGCGGTCTATACACGATCTGGAGTTTAATATATTAACCTACCTATAAGCATTTCGGCTTAAACATTTGGTCCTTCGAGTCGGATAGCGGAGAGCAAGCGGGTAGACGAGATACCATGGAGAGTGCAGTACAGTTAAAGTACAGGTAAGAAAGCCACGTTTACCTATACCGAGTCCATTCTTATTTTCGTTGTTCTCAATTAAATCGAGTGTCGTCATTATGGCAACCGATATAGCCGCCTTAAAGTCATGTAGAGGTGTGGTAAAGGGTCGAATCACACGGATTATAAATTTTATACGAAAATTTCCCGCTGGCGGCGATTCGTCTAAAATTCGATTAAGAAAGGAAAAAGTCGAAACCAGCTGGGACGAATTTTAAGATATAAAATACGTCATAGAACGCCTGACCGAAGAACCTGTATCTGAAGAATAGTATAGGGCCAAGTTCGAGGACTTATATTATAAAGTGATGGCAAAATGCGATTAAATTTTGATGGAGACCATTAACAAAGAAACCCAAAACTCTGATTGTTATAAAATACCGAAAAGTTCAACAAACAGTTATCAAGCATCGGTGGTAAAATTGGTAGCGCTGAATAAATTGAGTTCAATAGTAATTACAAGGAGTGGGAAACGTTCAAGGATGTATTTGGTACCTTGATCCAGTTAAACGAAACTCTGACCAAGGTCCAGAAGTTGATCTATTTAAAAGCGGCACTGTCGGGAGACACTATAGAAGTCGTAAAATGTCTCGAAACTATCGCAAACAATTACAAATTCGCGTGGGATTATTTGAACCAACGATACGACAACAAACGAATAATAGTACAATCACATACGAAGGCGATTTTCAAATTAGAGAGAGTCATGAAAGAATCATCGACGAAATTGCAACGATTTATAGACATTCTGTTAGGGCAAATAAAGACGTTGGAAGTGATTGGTTATAACCCTTTGTCTTGGGGCTCGATGTTATTACATATCATTTCAACGAAATTTGATAATGCTACATTACGAGAGTGGGAAACTCAAGCACCGAAAACAGAATTTCCCCGAAGTTGACGAATTGATAATATTTTAAAATACCGATTTCAAATTTTGGAATCAATCGAAAACGCGCAAAAGTTGGATAAGTTCGAACAGGAGTGAATACAGACACCGGTGGAAAGGGTGACGAGAGACAGATTTCAAGAAAAAATTAAAACGTTATTCATTCACGCGACTACGGTAAAAATTAAATGTAATTTTTGCGACGGTGCAATCGCGTTCGGACAGGTATGGGTACAATCGATCCATCAAGCTTATGACGTTACCCACAGTTACATCAAAATTACCGACGATACAGATACGCGGAGACAGCTCGTGTTCGATACCGAAACATATCACGTTGGTCGACCCTACTTAAGCAACTTAAGTATTCTAAGATATGTTTGGATTTACTATAATTTAATTAGACTCATTAGTGATGTATAAAATATGATAACGTACGAACAAAAATAAACGTCTGTTCATGTTGAACGATCGCTAATAACTGTAATTTATCATTTATTCGAAACAATAATAATTTTTACTATTTATTTTCACAAGTTTTTTTAAAATTTCTTACAATTGTTTAAATATTATAATCCATGATTGAATCAATTATTTTCTATTATTTTTATTATTTTGTTCATCATCAGAGAATTGGCAGGAGTTCTAAGGGTAACCTTTGTGAAAGTATAAGAATCAAATGGTTTGGGTATGTGATTACGAGGTCAGACTCAGAGTACCTTAAAGCGGTGGTAGAGTGAAACCCCACACAGAAGAGACCAAGAAGACGTCCAAAGAAGCGATGAATAGATGGATTAAAGCAGGATTTAGAGAAATTAGGGATATGAAATTGGGAAGAAAAAGTACAAAATCAGGAAGAGTGGAAGGAGGTCAGTGGCGGAAAAAACTCTGGAGTTGTGATGCCAGTGACAGAGATGTAATGTTTAATTTGAGAAATTCAGCGGTATTATAAGATATTCAAAGATACTAACTTGATTCACAATAGTTGAATTTGGAGATTCACTACTCAGTAGGTCCGTGTCTTCGTGGACACGTACTGAGGAACGATTGTTGAACCAGCGCACACTAGACATTATTCGCTTCTTAAGTCTCCTGAACCACGAATTCGTTGATTTTAAATTGCTCTGTGTTAAAATAAATGTTATGTTGATTACGTCCAAATGATATTTATTTTTCGAAAATTTAAATTGAAAACAAATGTACAGGAACTTACGGTTTCACTTTTCGACTCAATTGCATTCTGTCCGACATTGAATGTTCTCTGAATCTTCCTCAATTTAGAATAAATTATACCCATTTTAGCAACTATACTTGTTACTTTGTAGTTTTATTTAGAAATTCAAAAAAATTTTTGAGATCTTTTAACAAGTTATTAAAATGTATATACCGGTGAAAAAATTCTTGAAAAATTGTACAACTAATATTTGTAAGCTTCTATATAAACATTTACTGTTGTCTAGTAAAAATATGGCTTGTTTTCAAAATTGTAATGTATTATTTCTATGGAGATGTTTTATATTGCCCAAAACACGTAAAGACATGTATTTATAATTGCTATTATTATGTTACAAATTATAGTATACTCTAGTTCTGTTATACATTTATTTTACTATAATAAAGTGATGAAAAATCCATGGCACGCGAAATATTTAAATATTTTTTAAATAACGTTTAATTTTTAATCATAAATAGTACGGTCACAATGAACCACTTTAAATAAATTGTCTGTTTTTTCAATTTTTCTTTGACAAACGAGTATACTCACGAATTAGTTTTAATATATCTGAATTATGATTCTGACCAACGCATATGAATGCATTGTAATGAATTAAAAATTACAATTACAAAACTAAATATAAATTAATTTGCATCAATGTACAACAATTATAATCATACCTGTCAAGCAAATCAATAAATACTAAAGTAATGTTATTTGTATAAATTCAATTACCATTTTTAATTATAAATAAATACAATAAATATATTTAAGTTAAAAAATAATTTTTATACATAAATAATATTTTTCTTAATTTAATATTTTGCAGGAAGAAAAAAAAATCAGGTAATTTTTGGCACCTTACATTTGGATAATTTCCCGCCTTTGCTCTAATATGTAATCATTAATCTTAATAAACTTGATACATATTCAAGTAATTCAAATATAAATGGTTTTCATGGTACGAGTATGTCGTGTCATTGATTATAGAATAAATTTATATTTTACAAAAGGTGATATTGGATAAAATTAATGCAATTCAATTTGTTATGTTTTTGCATAGGTTGATAAAAACAAGTATTACTATTCGTAGCAAATAAACTATTATTACAACATGTATTTTTGTATCTTAAAGGGTGTTTAATTTAGTGAATATTTATCTCTTATATGAATTATGTATGCTCTTGTAGTAGCAGCAACATTCTGAGTTTAATTTGTAATACGTATATTGTATTAACTAGGAAGGATTTTTAATTTTAGCATTTTAAATTGCTAGGCATATAAGAATACCTAATCTCAACTAGTTTTCCATTACAATTATTGACTAAAAGCTAAATCATAATTTGTTGGTTTATACGCTTAATGGTTTGTGTTTATGTTGTTTATTTTTTTTATTGTTGTTGTTAAGGTGGTATTGGATAGAGGGAATAATATGCATTAAATGAATGTGCGATGATTACAGCCAGCGCCGCAATTTCAAAATAGGAGGCCCGTGGGCGGTAATTATATTAGGCCCCGTCATAGGATTTATTTTTGTTGTACGTCTTATTTATACAGTATAACCCCTTTAATCCGTCACCTTCCTGTCTGGGGGTGTGGTCCGAACGCGAAAAAGGTCGGATTATCAGAGTATAAAGAAACATTTGAAGATAAAATGTTACTAAATTTATTTATTAAATTATTATTTTAATATTATTTTTAATTACATACATACATTAAATTAAATTAACAATTAAATAATAAAATAAATAAAATATAAATAAATAGTAAACAAGCAATTAATTTTATAAATATATCTAGCTACATACTATAAATTGGAAAATCCATATTCATATCGATAATACTATGGTCGGATCAACTGAAGTGGCGGACTATCCGAGGGCAGATGAGAGGGGTTCTACTGTAAGTATCAATTTTTTTAGATTTTAAAACACGTTCCACATCAGTTAGTGTATGATATATGTATATAGGTATATAACAAATTAAATACCTACAACTGTTGTATATTATAATTCACTACATATTTATATAGTAAATCTATTTAAGTAGTTTAGGTAGGGATGTTTTATGCCTACTCAAATACTCAATGGACTCATTGTTAAATAAATATTATATTAATCTAAAATATTATAATATCCTAACCTGAATTTTAAAAAATAATTTCTTTTTATTATAAAATAATAATATAATATTATTAAATAATTGTGTCTTTGTAAAGTGTAGTTTATTTTAGGGTGGAACTAGGGAGCCCCCCCAAAATATATTGGTGTGATGATTATAAATTGTATTGTAGGAATAAAATGACTGCCTATTTAGGAAAAATGCTGCTTACTGCTACAAATAAATTAACAATTATTATACATTTAAACAATTATTAAAATAAACCAGTATGATCGTTTGAAAATAGTACAGACTTAATGGTTGAACCCAAGATTATCCGATTATAACACTAATTAGAGATTTGTAAATTGAAAACATTTTATATTTTATACATGCATTAATTATACTGCATCACACAATTGTTCGGAAATTACTTTTAGTGTACATTTCAATTTGAATAATATTCCACTTGGTGGTATTATTTAAAACATCAAGAGTACAGGTTGTGTGAAATTTGTTTTTTTGCACATTAGACGTGAAATATAATAGGCCTATACGTATATAATTGCAATATATTCTGCTTTATCTTGTTCGTATATATTATATTATATACTTTATGGGGTTATTCATTAATTTATATTTCTTGAAAATAATTTCGGAATATTTTTTTAAGTAATTTTTATCTCATTGTTTATATTTTACAATAATCGTATTATGTTTAATCCGTTTATTGTTACTATACGCCGTTTTGGCAGACAGAAATCAATAAGGTTTTTGCAATAATACGGTGTTATTCTCATGTAAATATCCAATCATATAAATATGGTATATCGGTGCACTAATAAAATGTACAATTTTTACGACCAAGTAGATTTAGCGTCAATGTTGTTTTTAGCTGTCAATATAAAATGATATAACATTGTGCTTAAGACAAAAGTATAAAATTTTTTAGTACAAAGATTACCAATGTATTCTTTAATTTTTTTATTTGTATATTATATATTTACAACGTGTCTCCTATGGGTGTGGTAATTTCAATATCTTAAATTTCATACGACACTAAATATGTTCAAATTAAAAATTAGTTTCATTGATCTTAGAACTCGAAAATGAATTAAATATTTCGGTTGAAAGTGTTGATTGTTCTAATTTTGATCTTCCAATAGGAGATATTATAGAATTCCATTCGGAAAAACGCAATTTTAATGAATAACACAAGATTTTAAATGAGAGTGAACTGGAAACATATTAATATCGATTGGACAATATTAATTTAAGACATTATTTTAAGGACATTTTATATTATATTCGTGGGTATATTGTAAAAGGTTGTTAAAGGTTTATTTAGATTGTATTAATTTACTAATTAAAAAAATTTTGATTATGTATATATTAAATTCAAATTTTACAACATCTGTAAGTAGAGCGAAATTAATCAACATCTCATGCCGTTTCATTAATTATATTGCGACTAAAAAAATCATTCCAACTTATAATTGTAAAAGAGCAAAACTTCATAATAATTCAAAATCATTAATAGTTCAGAGCGCTCAAATAAGTATTTTGAGTAAATGTAATAATTTTTATTTCCCTAATTCTCTTTTTATTAATGTAGATATTGGATCACATTTTCATGAATATAATGGTATTATTTCTTGGTGGATACTTTTAAAATTAGATGCTGTGCATATCGGTGATATCGTAATCTAATCATAGGCGCAATAGGGTTTTTAGCACTCCTCTTTTTTTTCAGATCTATATAATCTATAGTAATTATATTTAAATACAATTTTATTTCATTTTCAGCAATTTCAGCACCCCCCGATATTTGTACTCTAATTGTGCCCATTCATCTACCTCTGTCTGGGTATTTTAAAATAGTATACCCAGACAGCAATTTAGTAATGTTGATATTATAGTAACATTGTATATTAAATGATGTTAAACATTTTGATATAAATGTTGTTTTATTATTGTAGAAACATTTATTTTATATTATTATATGAAGAACGTTACCATAATATTCAGTTTTAATTCTTATAGTTTAAAAGTTACTATAACATTTTATGTTTATTATTTTAGAAATTTTGAATAAATGTGATTTTAAAAATATTTGCTTAAAATATTATACAAGAATTATTTTAATAATGTTTAACAAGCGACGTTATAGATACTATACGACCTAAATAATTAGAATAATATGTTATGTGATTTACATTTTACTTTTAATTATTTATTACCACAACTTTGTCTATATATTATATTGGTCTCTTCGAATGTATCGAGTGTTATTTATATCTATTATATATTAGAAATTTATTAACTCTATTGGGGACGAGACTACCTCTCTATAGCGGTCATTTATTCTGGTCCCCTTGGTGACCGTTAAATTAATTTTTCACTCGTAGTCTGTAGTGGAGGCTTAAATATATATTTTTGAACTACACACATTAATATATGAAGCACTCAAAATGTTTTTTATCGTGTGTATAAATTAATGAATCCAAATTAAAATTAAGAAGAAATAGTATTACAATTTATTACATTATATAGTGTGTTTAGTATCTACTATAGTGTACTGCACATAATTTTAGTTTCGGGTCTATGCCCTATGGACTTGTATACTTGATCGATAGGTACACGTACACGGACATCTCCTTCTCTTATTCAAATAATATTTTTATTATTAAATTATAACAGCAATCGTCGAACATCAAATAACAAATGCATATCTAATATCTATAATATAGTGATACATATATATTATATTAAATACTTAATACTTAATTTTACATTATTCAATTGTTTGAATTTTAGATACTCGTATTTTTATAATTCAAGGGTTCATGAGTTTATTATATTATGATGGTAAACCGTGTTCATACTACGTTATACTAATACGTATATTAATAATATATTTATTTATATATAAATAAAAATGCTTATCTTAGTATTATCGATGGTGTTGAAACGCGTACATC